TGTATCTGCCCGGGGCGCTCCCTCAGTTCCTTTATCACAATATGCTTGTACTGGTGGTATTCTTGGAAAAGCTTCGTTCGAATAGTCGAGTGTGTCATGTGGGCTTGAGTCAGGGCGATCGAGGGATTGAGGTATTCGAGAAGACGCCGGAATCGAGGGCTTCAACTGCGCGGAAGGCAACATTCGACTCGGTGATCCAAGCAAGCAAGAGAGATTGGAAGACATCTTTATCGAATTGGTTTTTTAGCTTGTTAATGAATGCTTGCTCCTTCTGGTCATTGGCATCGAGGTTGAAGAATTGGGCAATAGAACGCTTGTTGGTTGTAGAACCCTTCGGTAACCGTCTACCTGATGGGTCAATAACATTGTGAGCATCATGTAGATGGCGCTCAATGTTTAGGGTCCCCTTTGCCGCGAAGCTCACGGGTCCCTTCGGCGATTTCTTCGGTAAACACCGCTCACAGACCCAGAGGCGATTATCTACGTTAGCTTGATGTTCAATGTCGAACCCAAAGCTCCAGATCCACGATTTGAGCTTGCCGGCGCGTTGAGACTTGGTATAGCCGCGGAAGTGATGCCAGGGAAGGCATCCCACTCGAGATGGGGAACGGGGCCTGAGTCGCCTGAATCGCCTGATGGCGGCAAGGGAGTAGAAGAAGGCTCAGGAGATTCGCTCATTGCATATAGGAATGTTTAGATCAGCCAAGGCGTTGTGGAAGAATCGAGAAGTGTAAGTGGAACTGAGGCGAGAGATTGAACTTTGTTGTGAAGCGCGTCGATGCGCGCAGCGCGTCGACTCTTCCAACGGAACAGGGGCCCTGTTCCCGAAGAGAGAGAGCAGGCTTACCTACAACGGGCCTGAGTAACCTGTAAGGTTAGTGGTAGCTATATACCCAATCCGTACCTACATTTCGCCTTGGCCACCTACCCTACAGGATCCCTGACCGTCAACGGCAATCTCATCAATCCATCAATCAACGGGAGCATGAATTGAATTGACAAGCTTATTCAGCAGACACTCGATTGAGTTGATTGAGTTGACGGTTGCTCAACTATATTGAGCAACCGTTGCTGGGATTGAGTGGTTTGCCACCCTGTGTGTTGCGGTCATATCGGTCCCAGGACCGTGTGTGCTGAAGCCATATTCGTCCTGGGACCGTATGTGTCCTGGGACCATGTGTGTCCTAGTGTTATCTCTGTCCTGGGTCTGTGTGTGTGCTGCGATCATTTGTTTCTTGGAACGGTATGTGCTGCAGCCATGTGTGTGCTAAGACCGTGTACCCGTGCCACGCTCCACTTATTTCGCGTTCGTTTCTACACCAGCTCCATAAGAGAATTGACGACACACACGCAGAGAACCGAGGCTTCAATGGTACCCAAGATCACCTTTGCAAATACCAAGAAAACGGTCAGCTAGGCATTGAGGGCCTCATCATGGAGACGCCGGCTGAGGCCGTGATCATGGTGGGGCGAAGCGCGTCGCCTGCGTCGACACCCGCGAAAAGATCGACACGCGTCGTGAGGCCAAGCACCAAAATTCGAGAAGCCGCGCGACAGCCCGACGATCTGGCGGAGAAGACAACACGCGCAACTAGGCTTGCAACGCGCATTGCCTCGGACGATGTCGCCATCAGTGACGCGACTGAGCGGCGCAAAGTTGCCAGCAGCAGCAGTGGCGCGAACGAAGGCCGAGCCATGCTCCAGAAAGTTCTCGAACTCTTGAGCGAGTCACGTCAAGAAACGCAAAAGCTCAGCCGAGCGATAGATGCGCAAAACGAGATCATATCCAAGCAACAACAGATGACAGTACTAGCAAACCAGAGTGCACAGTACTAGCACCATACAGCCTCTCATTGACAGACCGGGCTTCCGCTGCTGAGAATAGGATGCTGAACACTTGGAGAAATGGGCCTTCAAGCAGGCCTGTCAACGGCGAAATTGGAGGCTGAAATGTACGGATAGGAGCAAAATGTGGGGCTTCTGGGTGTTGCAGTCGAAAGTGGAGGATATGTAAATAGCTTAGTGTCGCGGCCCTCTAGGGTTGGTCCCTCCGGGCGGAATAAATTGCATTGCATTGCATAAGCTGGTGCTGGACACCGCATTAGCCAGTATACCGCAATAGCCAAATTTTTCTCCGTCCAACTTCAACCCCCTGCACTTCAACCAGGTCACATTCTTTTGACTTGCCGAAATGGAAGCCCGTATTCAAGAAGCTCTTCGATATATTGAACATTTTTCTGGTGCTAAGGTGGCCACGGTTGCTCGGGAATTCGGCGCACCACGTGTCGCGAAGCACGTCTGAGATCTTGAGCTCGAGGTGACCATAAGGGATATACAGCTAAGGGCCCCGACAGGCTAGATCGAAAGGCAGCCTGCAGAGAGTTCTGAGGCTGCAGAAGGCTATTAGGAGACCGCATTAGGCAGCCACATAGGCTGTAGAGAGACTGCATATACGGGGGAAGCTGAAAGAGCCCTCAGCGACTAGGGAAAGTCAGTATGCAAAGGGGGGGCTGGGGAAAGGATCCCAGCCCCCTAGATATTGTGCCTATACAACTGAAAAGGGGATATCAATAGGGAACCAAGGGATATAAATAGAGAGCCTAGAAGAGGGCATTGCAAGAGGACAGACACAACGGAATACAACAGAACACACCTATTATTAAAACAATCAATGCCCACTTGCATGCTCTCCTTTCGTGAAAGAAGTACGCTATAGTATTGCGGCAGTCTCAAATCGGGAAGCAGGCAAATATGTTGGCTATCTCACCATTGGTGGATGCGAGGCAATTTGTAAGAATGTCTCCAATGTTCTTTAATTATCGGAAGAATTATGTCACGTAGCTTTCGCTGCTAGTCTGCCGAAGCTCTTCTATGAGTTGAGAAATATGAGCAAAAGTAAGCGAGTACTTGAACTGGGAGGCCTTTTCGGTCCTAATCCTGCGAGACGAGTCCTCTAAAAGATCCTCTAGCTGTTTATTGCGACCGGAAACAGCGGCAAGCTCATTGCCAAGAACGCTCACTTCATCTCTGAGTCGGACCAATTCAGTGTCCACATCGAGTGGTGCAGCCGCTTGTATGTCATCCTTGAGTAACAGGGACCCTTTAAATGTCGTCATGCACACCGTAGCGTCTTCTGTTCCTCTCTGTAAGGAATCATCAGAAGGATTCAGAGGCGCTAACTCTGATATGTATGGCGTTCTAAGCACAGCCTCGAATCTGTGCCCAACTAATTCTTCAATTTGACGACAAGCGGATATAGAGTGTCGACTGAGATTCTTCGCAAAGAGAAACGCTATCTCAGAATGAAACGTCCAAGAATAAGAATCGTTTTTAGAAGGCACTAGTCGGACCTTACCCGGGGGAATATTAAGGCCTGTGTTGTTCCCTGATTTGTCCTTGTAAGTATGGATGAAATCACCGGACACTGCAGACGCACAGATATGTGTCGCGAGTGCTTCGCGGCATTTGCTCTGGGCCTGACGTCGCCTGCGCTTGCGTGTGGAGCTCGACTGTTCGACTGCTGATGGTTTGCATTGTACGGTCATGTTGCACATACGTACTGGTGTTCGATGATCAAGCCGGTTTTGAAGAGTCCCTTGGCTTCTTTTAACCCTTTCCAGAGGAGCAGAAATCGCCCGCACTCCATCTCTGGCCACGCTGAATTATGCTTTTTGTACAGCCGACGTGCCCAGCATATTTAAATCCATCCGTTCCTAATTCTTTCCAAGAAGTTTGAAGCCTCTCAACCAAGATGCCCGAACGCACTTCCTCTAAAAAGTCCATCGAGACACTAAAACAAGGAGATACCCCAGTTAGCATTGGCCACGAGCCTTTGGTGTCTCGCTTTGACGGGGTCATGTTCGAGGAAAAGACAGTTGGCTCATCCAGCTATGCCACCGTCTCAAGGATTATCATGTGGCTTTTACTCCTAGACTTGCCAACGTTGCTATCTCGAACAGCCTTCCTCTTCAACAGGAAGAGTATATGGAAGGTGGGACATTATTTGGCAAATCTTTCAATATCCGTCCCTATAGTCTACCTCATGGCCGGTCGTGCCCTTATCGCAGTAGTGGGGCTGGTTTGGATTTGGCAGTTATGGAAACACAGTTATGTGTGGCTGATTTGCCGCCTTATGCTTCTTCCCTTGCGGATGTTGCTGCCAGGGTTGGGAAGCGTGATTCTTGGACTGGTATAAGTTGAATGGTTTATTTAACAAGGCACGTTTGCTCATGTTACTTGCGCTTGCTTCGACCATGCCACGCGTCAAATGGGTGGTCTGCACTCGAGGTGGATACGGAGAGGATTTTCGCACAAAGCGGATCCGAACTACGGGCGACTGTAGGCCAGACTGTCTCAAAACACATTTTTTTTTGGTTGTATTGCGCCCGGGGGGTTCCCCCATAGAGCCACTACGCTAAGCTACGTACCTACTATACATGGTTTCTTCTCACCCAAAGCCCAACGCTTCTTTCCATCTGTTTCCAGCCTCGTTCGCTGTGACATGACAGGCCTGCTTGAAGGTCAGTTTCTCCAAGTGTTCAGCGTCCTACCTTCAGCGACTGAAGCGCGGTCTGCCAAGTTGAAGGCTGTTGTGTTAGTATGGTTGTTCTTGATCAGTACATGGCCCGTTAACGGTCCATACTGAAGCGTTTTGTCGCCAATGCGAACTGTATCGTCGCACGCACAGCCCCAATATCAGGTTGCCACTTGTCGTCGTCTGACTCTGCCTTGCCTCCTAGGAAGAAAGACAAGTCTCCCCTTTCCGCGCGCATATCGCAGCATGGTCTCTCGTTGTACCGTCCATCTTCTGCATCGAAAGAGGAAATGCTCCACTGTTTCTGCAGACTGCCCACAAGTGCACTCATCCGATTCCACCGCCCCGATTTTGCAGAGGTAGCTATTCAGCCGCGATTTGCCAGTTCGAAGTTGTATCAACACTTCGGATTCCTTTCTTGTTAGCTCGTCGTACAACTTGCGGGTGTGCTTGCCCGGTGTGACGGTCACGGACTGAGCCAGAAGGCTGTGGACTCTATTACGAAGATTCTGCTCTGAAGAAGAGAAAGGAGAACCGAACAATACAACTGGGTGTCCTCTCCCTAAATATGCCTTCCGTACGTGTGGGCCGTTGGCCCAACAACATGTGGGTCATGTATGCAAGGGGGGTGTGACGGTGCTAGGCCGTCACACCCGGCAATGCCTTATCGATGCGCTTTGAGTGCTTTCCAACCCCTTCCGGGATCTGACGAACGCGAGCGTGTTCGTTGAGCAGCAGTCGTAACGTCGTTGATCTTGCTTGAAACGTTGCTGGTTCGGCGATGCACTCGTCTCGCGTCGCTCTTTTCGCTTGCATTTTGGCCAGTGGCCCTAGAGTGAACTCCTCATTCTTTGCAGGCACCCAACGAAGTCTGACTCTGCAGCCTCTTTTCGCCAGATACTCAACAGATCCGTATATCGCCCGTATCGTGCACTGACCAGACTGTTGCCGTGGCCGCCCGATGACTTGCAGGACAGAGCGGTTGCTCGTCACAACCGTGAGATCTCGGTCATGAAGACCGAGAGGTACACACCTCAGGGCCGTGGCGATTGCCTTGAGTCCTGCTGTGTAGGCATTCTGCTCATCACTGGAGCCGAGAGTGACGGAGTAGCTGGCCAGCACTTCGTCTGCGCTGTCGCGGGAAGCATCCCGAACGACGCCTCCCAACCCGACCTTGCCCTTCCTTTGCGAGCTGGACGTCGCAATAGTGATGTCCTCCGGGTCATCCGACTTCAGCACCTCCACTCGGTCTGCCTCGTACGTTGCCTGCACTCGTTCGTCCCACGGCGCCAGTGCGAACTCGTGGATGACTTCCAGGCGCTTGGTATCTATTCTTCCCATCGCCGAGGCGAGCTTCTGCATTGGCGACGCATACCTCCTGTTCAGTTTGAGTCTCAACGATGTCAGAGGATGCGTCTTCGGAGCGTCCTCATCCTTATCCAGAATTTCGCTGCCGCTTGAGCATGCCGTTCTCGGAACGATTGCACGCCGGCCTCGGCCTCGGCCACTGCCGTTGCCACCGTGCGGAAGCCTCCCGTGACAGCCTGGGCTCCGATTCGCTGGGCCCTGCCAATCCACGCCGCTTCTTTCACCCCGCACGCGTGCGACCACACGTTTGAGGCATAGTCCATGGCTGGCGCCACCGTCGCGACGAACAGTTGCCTCGCCATCCGTGGCGAAGCCATCTTCAGTCGTTTCAAACACATGGCCGCGGCCAGCCCCTTGGCGGCCGCTCTGGCGATGTGTTCCTTGAAGCGAAGCGCTTTGTCCATGATGACTCCCAACAGCTTCACGTTGCTCTTCGGCTTGACATCGTTTCCTGATGATGAGAGGCAGGTCGCTGTCACGCTCCGCGATGCGTGTGAAGTGGATGAAGGATGTCTTCTCTGCTTCAAATGTGGCGCCGCTGCGCTTCTCCCAATCAAGCGCATCATCGATAATCGACTGGATACCATCTCTGTTTGACTCTGCCGTTGGCCCCGTGACCCAGGCAGAGTAATCGTCCACGAAGGCGATGGAGCCACCGTTAGTACTGATCCGTCTTTGTACCAGGTCTGCGTTGAAGAAAAGAAAAGCCACTGGCGACAGAGGAGATCCCTGGGGTAGGCCGGCCTGCGGCAGGGTTTGTTGCTCGGATGTGTGCCCGTTGACAACCACCGACGCGGTCCGTCCCGAGCAGAATGCGTCTATCCAATTGACCAGTCGACTCGGGATGCCTCGGGCTTTCATCCTTTCGAGCATTCGCTCTTTGCACACTCCGTTGTATGCGCTTTGACGTCAAAGCTGATGAGGCTGAGCACTCTGCCCGTTCTCCAGGCCTTGTAGATCCGCTCCTGCAGAAGCACGAGTGCTTGATCTGCGGACCTGCGCTTCCGTGCACCAAAGTGGTTCGCGGGCAAAAGCCCTTGAGCCTCGACTGCATAGCTGATACGTTCCGCGACGACTGCCTCCAGAATCTTGCCAAGCGTCGACAGGAGAGAAATCGGTCGCCACGCCTTGGCCAGGGTGTAGTCTCCTTTATCTGGTTTCCTCAGAGGAATGATCTTGGCCGTTCGCCATTGATGAGGCACCACGCCCTCTCGGAGCGATGAGCTGAAGAGCGTCCACACCCGGTGCTTGACCACGTGCCAGAGCTTCTTCCACACGATCGCAGGAAGGCCATCCTCACCAGGCGCTTTCCAGGGCTTCGCCGCCATCACCTTCTCCTCAATCTCTTGCAAGGTGAGGTCTGGCATGGCTATTTCTTCTCTCTGCGGACGTTCACCCTCCGGCTCGATCCTCGTTGGCAGAGGCGGAAAGAAGGTGCTCAGGAGTTCCTCGGCTTGCTCGCCCTTGCTTTCGGTGATCGAACCGTCGGCTCTCTTCAGCGGGGGCACCTTGTCATCCGTCATCTCCGTACCAGGCTTCAGATACTTGGCAGCCCTCCAGATGTTGCTCCCTTCGATGACGAAGTCATCCCAATGGGCCTTCTTTTGTCTCCGCAAATTGTCGTGGTACTCCTTCGCAGCCTCCTTGGCGCGCTGCTCCAGATCCGGCCGCGATTGACCGGCTCTTCGCTGCGCCCTTGCTTGATTGCGCCAATACGTGTACGTCCGACGGAGTCGCGTCAGGTCCTTTGTCCACCATCGCTTCGCGTATGGCGGCGGCTGGGCTCGAGGGGTCAGATCTCGAAGCGCCTTGGTGACCACCCGCATGAGCTGATCCGCCTGCGTCTGCACCCCCACAGTCCACGGAAGAGGCCGAAGCTCGTCCTCGACCCTGGTTGCGATGGCGATCCACGGCGCGTTCTTGAGCATCAGGCGCTGCGGAAAGGTACGCTCCGGCACTCGAATGTCGAATGTCGTCTGGATCGCTCTATGGTCTGATCCGTGCTCTGTTGGATGAATCACGCAGGATGTCAACTCGTCCGCCAGTTCCGCCGATGCCAACACCAAGTCGATGGTGCTCTCCTCGTCCGACCTCTGCCACGTTTTCGTCCTCTCGCGAGAAGGCTGCTAAGACCAAAGTCGTCCATCAGGTCAATGATGGGTTCGCCCTCCCCTTGTCTGCTCGCTGACACTTCATCTCCGCCCCAGAGGAGGTCATGGCGGTTGAAGTCCCCCGCCAAAACCACATCGGTGCGTCTCCCTGTCCCATTGCGGAAGCGATCGATCACGTCGCGCAATAGTTCCATCGCGTTCGTCAGCGCCTCGTCGTTCTTTCCTTGCACATACACTGACACCACCATCACCTCCCTTCCCTCAAGTCGGAGTACCGCTGCTGTGAGATCGGCCGACGGCACAGGCACTTGCTCCGCCTCAAGGTCACTTCGGATCCAGAGCATGCTGCGGATCGGCCATAGGGCGTCACGAACACACGTCGGAATCATCTTTGTCCAGTTATGGTGTCCCATAGGACTCGTCACCACCTTTCCGTCGATATTGCGCGCATGTGGCTCAGATATAGCCAGTGCGGCAAAATCCTTCAGGTCTTCGTCGTTCATCAGACTCTGCTGCACCATATCACTCTTGTGTGCATTCAGCTGTAGGATGCGGAGGACTCAAGCATCGCTGCTCGGGTTCCTCATCCTGCACTTCCAGCTAAACGACTCATGCGGTCCGCCGCACGGGACGCATTTGGCTCAATCGCTGTGCACTCTCGGTGGTGATGCCCAGCGTTTGCGCACTTGCCGCATGTCCGCTGCTTCTTGCATGAATATGCTTTGTGACCGATCTCCTGGCAATTGAAGCATTGGATCGGTCCCGTTCTTGGCTCGAACTTATAAGTGGTGGCCGACTCTCCCGCTAGGTCAAAGTAGTCACCGTCCAGAAGCCTTTCTGCATCGCTTTTCTTGGTGACATATACTACCATGGATCCGTAGGCTTTACCAGACTCTCGTTTGCTCAGCCAGGAAATCTTGCCAATGGTCACTCTGTTTTCGGCACTCAAGGCTTCGATCGCTCCGGGCAGGATATTGCCCTCCGTGTCGAGGATTGCTGTCCGGTTGGCGTTGTCGACCCGGACCGGATACAGCTGGTCTCTCATGATTCGCGCTCCTCTACGGCTGTCTTCTGCGCCGCCTCTTTGACCAGCTGAAGCTCGGCTTCATCTCTGCAGACTATCTTGATTCGGTCGGCGTTCCGGGATTCTCTCACAACTGCTGCGCACCTCCAGGTCTCATGTCCGTTCTTCGCTCTCATCTCAACCTCGATGGCCTGTCGTATCTGCCCGATTTGCGCTTTGTTCCTGTTCGGCTCACTTACACGAGACGTGTCAATGGTACAATGGACAGAATCGTTGGCTGTCTGCTGTTTGGTTGGACCAGGTATGCTGCGTGTACTGGAGGGCGGGCTGTTTGGCAGGGCGCGCGCGACGTCCGCAAACGTTGCTCGAGGGCCGCTTGACAAAGCCACCTCGCCCGATACATCCAGCTTTTGCATCAGCTGATCTAGTTGCTCTTTCACTCCGACCAATTCTCTCTTAAGATCCCGGTGTTCCTGTTTCATTTGCTTGTCGTGTTCTTCACTCTTACGTCGAAACTCTTCCTTGATTCCTGGACCTGGGCTTCAAGCCTCGGATCAGATCTTCCTGTCCCTGGATGGTGGTGCTTTGCTTGTACACCGTGGCGCTCAGCTTCCTGATCGTGTCGCTTTGCTCGGATACTCGATGTTTCAGCTCCACCATCTCGCTTCCCATCTTCGCCAGCATCTCTAGAACCCTTTGCATCATCGATTTGGCGGTCTCCACATTGCTGCGTGTCGCTTTCGTTGCCCACCGATATGACTCGCGTCGTTCGGGTCGAGACACGCTTGGGAGCTCTCGCGGTCGCATTTTCCAGCGATCGTAACGTATCCTGCACTCGTGCGCTGGGCGTCATCACTCGCGTCGGACGCGTCAATGGCGACGGGCTAGTTGGATCCAGCCCCGCCCCCACGTCGGCCGGAGGCGCCACTTCAGGCTCTGCCATGATGGCAATCAAGAGCCACACCTACCCCAGAGTAAAGAAATATGAAGAACTATAGTAGAACGTCGGGGAGCCTGACTTCCTTCCCTTACCAGCTTATCCAAAACACATTTTGGGCTGTGGGCACCCCGGGGTTAGATTACCCGATCGGGTCTAAGTGCAACTGGGTAACTTGTATATACCGATAAGTTAGTCCTCGTGAAAGGTAGGGCGCTGCTGCTTGGCCATTATTTCTCTTCTTGTCGGCCGTCAGATCCCGTATGTTCTTTGAAAATCCGGTGACAGTACGAGACTGCGCCACGACTACCCTGTGTATCTCTGCGACTTCATTGATCTTCTCCACGAGGGCATCTTTATGTTGGTCGAGCTCCCTTTCCAGCCGTTCGTTCTTCAACTTTTGTTCTTCCAGTCCGTCTCGGTACTTCAACAATAATGTCTCAAGGTGGATATTTCGCTTTCGGTAATTCTCCAGCTGCTTCTCGAGGAGTAAGAGGAGCCCTCGCGGACCAGCTGAGCTCTGTGGTGCATTTATTCCGTTATCAGCGACCATCACGGTGAATAGAGTGAATAATGGACGGGTTTGGGCACATTCCTTTTATGCCTGCTTGGAAACTGTATTGGTCATGCTCCATGTCCACAATGTGCGCACCGGTTGTAGAAAGCTGTAAAAGGGTGTCACAAGGGTCTGTGCACGCTTCGCGGTCAAATGATGCTCAATAGACTGTATTACGGGACAATATCACTTTTCATGAGAGAGCTGAATATGGCCTCGATATCGGCTCGTTTTCTTTCGCCAAAACAACGATTCCACATGCCTGCAGTTGCTTACGAGGTCGCTTATATGCTACGCGCACCTCGGTTCTAATGTTCCAGCTTTCTGAAACATCGATATGGCTTTCCTAGGAACGGTCATATTTGAAATTGGCCTGAATTTCTTTGCCTCGCCGCAGAGCTACGAAAACTTGAGCAGCGTGACAATCGTCGATATGGATACCCTACAGAACGCATTGTCTGTCTTAGGAATACAGGAGGAAGCCCTCCAGCATCTAATTGGGCGAATGGCTAAGGGCTCAGCCGAGCCTGTAGTTGAGGATATCAGAATTATAGAAAAGCTCGAGTCCCTCTTGCTCATAACAGAACTGGAGAAAGAGAAACGTCAAGCACTTGCGGACCTGGAGCTTAGTATCCGGAAGCTGTCGGCCTATGAGCAGTTCAGGAGACGCCATATCCAGTCTCTCGAACAGCAGGTGACTGAAGATCATCAGCCTCAAGAATGGAAGAACATGGCTCAATCGCAAAGCCAAATTGACCGGGAATGCGTTGAAAGAGCTGAGGCACAGCAGAGGATAGAAAGTGAGCAGCGGCTGTTCGAAGCAGAAGACTAGATACTCTTCGACGTTCATTGAGAAATTGTGGGATACATCGCTATCTAGCTTGCTCGCTCTCGGACCACTATTAATCTAGGCCGACTATATTTAACGAGGCGAGCAACAGGTGCGCAGGCCGAAGCTCCCCTAGCTTCTCCGTCTAATTATGGGAAGGTCTTGTAGACGGTGAATGAGGGTGTCATTAAGTGATTATCTCACGAAGAGAGCATGCAAGTGGGCATTGATTGTTTTAATAATAGGTGTGTTCTGTTGTATTCCGTTGCGTCTGTCCTCTTGCAATGCCCTCTTCTAGGCTCTCTATTTATATCCCTTGGTTCCCTATTGATATCCCTTTTCAGTTGTATAGGCACAATATCTAGGGGCTGGGATCCTTTCCCCAGCCTTCCCTTTGCATACTGACTTTCCCTAGTCGCCGAGGGCTCTTTCAGCTTCCCCCGTAAATGCAGTCTCTCTACAGCCTATGTGGCTGCCTAATGCGGTCTCCTAATAGTCTTCTGCAGCCTCAGAACTCTCTGCAGGCTGCCTTTCTGTCTAGCCTGTCGGGGCCCTTAGCTGTATACCTACCCCTTATGGTCACCCCGAGCTCAAGATCTCAGACGTGCTTCGCGACAGATTACGCACCTGATCATGGGGACCGACTTCGTACAAGCCGGTAGCTAGGTTCGCATGCAAAGGAAAAGGCCATATATAGATGGCTAGGAAGGTAAATTTAAAGGGCTGGTCCATTGCGCGGGTTTTATCATACATTAGGGCACATGCTTTGGTGATGAAATTGTCATGTCTTGTTGTCCCTTATTGAACAAACTTAACTTAAGTTGAACTGTTGTATAGGGTACAGCACGGTTGGATAGACAGAGGGAAAATAGGACCAGACGTAACAAATTATCGGGATAAGAAGACGAGTAAAGTAAAGTACAAGGCGGATACAGCCATCGCGGCCATGCCGCTTAGTATGAGATGGTTGATGCTTGTGCGCTTTAATGGAAGGATGGTTGTTAAAAGTAGAGATGGATCGTGTTCTAATCCCACCGTCCCTGCCTCAGCTTAGCAAGGGCTGCGTGATCTAAGGTTTCATATTGTCGTCCTTCACATTAACCTTGAGGACTAGAGGATTTGTGTTGGGTTTCGCAGCGTCGTCGCCGATAGATTGTCCCGAGTCAGTTTCTCTCAATCGGCATTAGCGGCAGTCTCGCTCGAGGGTTGAGGCTGACGAATGCCCCATAAAGATCGCTGTCTATTTCCTTTGTATCGTTATATTGATAGTTGTCAACCATCAGACGCTGTGCAGGAGACTGTCCTGAATGATTGCCCCACAAAGAGCACGGGCCTGGTTTAACGTGCTTTCCAACTCGTCATCTTTGTCTTGGAGCCTCGATTGTAGCTCGGCCAAGGTCTTTTGGCGGTCCCGACTTTGGTGGTTTGAAACTGCACAAAGCAAAACGTATCTGGTATCGCCCCATTCGCGCCGCAGATCACACACATTATCCCAAAAACGGCATTCCCTTTGTTTTGACTTCATTTCTTGCAAGCGCCGAGGGTTAAGTCGATAAAATCCGATCCGGTCTCCCATCTCCTGCTGCGTTTGGTCGCGCAATTCCCCCATCTTCTCACTGAATAACACTGCGTAGTATCTCTGGTAGAACGCGCTCTTGATCGAGCCTCTTTTTACGACTTGCCAAAGCGTGGCCAAGTCAATCGTCATTGTTGTTCGCACAGATCGATTCGTTAAGACAGCATCGCTCAGATGACGCAGTATCAGCCTGCGATCATCTAATGAAGCTAAGCCACGGAGCTCCTGCTGTTAAACCCTTGGGCAATTGGCTGGAAGAGCTTGGACCTGAACAGGCCGATGACTCGTGTGACTGTCGATTGGGCGAGACGGTGGGAGTTATCGACGCTCGCGTAGAATGACGAGACGCATATGTGGAAGGGCCAGCATCAGCCAAGACATCGGTTTCGTGTGAAGATTCATCGCGATTCTCAAGAGACCTCCTTCGCTCAAGAAGTTCTTCGAACTGTCCTTCGTCTGGGTCGATTCGCCGACAGCAAATCTCCACAAGCATTCGAACGCGAAACGTAGGCACTAGGGCATCGGCTTTTTCTTGGTCCACGTGGGGATACCCTTGCACAAGGCAACGGATACCGATTAACATAAAAACGCCCGAGTCTTCCGGGATAGATTGCTTTGGACCCGTCCAGCCTACGACGATGGGCCTGGAACTATTTAGTCGCGAGAGCGCGACCTCGCTATTCTCGCTGCTATCGTAGTAGTGAATGCAGTCGGCGTACACCGCAGCGAAAGCCCAATGATCTTCAAGATGCATCGGAATGACTGTAGGGAGATCCCCGCCCTCGTTGAGTATTATGCTGGTATCTTGTTGGAGTGCACGAGGATGATCGATATGTATAGAACCGTCCAAAGACCGCAGCATTTCTAAGTATTTAGAGATGATTGTCTCATCCAACTGCCCATCAAGCTCCGCGATCAAGGAGAAATTGGAAAGCGCACGATCCTCTGCGTAGCTCACCCAATAGGCTTGGACCGGCGTTATGGGACATCCAGGGCCCCATTTTGGATAACGTTTTGAATTGTTCTGAAGATTTGCTGCACCATAGCAAAGGTATTGCATGAAAGGGGCTGAAGGGAGATCTCCTCGAAATTGTTAAACTCGTTCATAGGACGGCTGGATATC